AAATAATTATCTAAGTTGAAAGATTAAGCATTTGTACCAAATTGTTATACATATACAATGTTATATGCACTACGGTTTCCTAAAAAATTGATTGCTTATCTTTTTTTTTGCATCAAATACGTTTGTAAAAATTTATTGATCAGACAAGTTATAATATATTTTGCTTCTACCGAAACAACTGCATCATCTCAACAGAACTGTTAGAATGCATCTTTCTTTTTATTTTATTAGAACCTTGAATCATAAAAAAATAATATTTGATACTTCATTGTATTTGTGTCTCACTTTATTTATCGATTTGTTGTAATCTTTATCTTTCACATCGATTTATTGGTGAACTGATTCTCTGTTTCTAGATTTATAATTTGTGGTGGAGTAATGTTTTATTTCGATAGTCTTGGTTATGAGCGTTACTTTGTCCAACACAAATTATTTTAATTGCATTAGTGGGTAATTGGTAAATTAGTTTTGAAAGCTATGAAAACATTTTAAGAAATGTTAAAAGTCTAAATTTCTCGATCAGACTTTAGTATTTTAATAGCCTTAAGAGTCGTAGAATCATTCTTTAAATGTCTCACATCATTTTTTTTTCTTCATGTTATGCTTCTTTTTATTAAACCTTCTCTTTTGTGATTTTTTTTATTTTAAATCACAATTACCTATATAAAATCAAAGTTTTAAACGTTTTCATATAGTAATTGTTGAATTTGATAAATAAATTGTATATTTTCTATACATAAATTTACAGAAGAATTATATAAATGTACACAACACACTTAATTGTAATTTACTAGAATTAATTTACATAAGAATTAGTTATTAAATTGTTAGAACTAATTGCTAAAGTTTTTAAAAAACATTTAGTTTTCATTTTTTATTCAATAATTAAATTAAAAAACTAAATGTCAAAAAATTAGATGATTAAAGATTTTGGGGCTTAATTCTCGATCAATCTTTGTGGCCCTCATTGTTCGCGAATGAGAAAGAAACCCTTTCATGTTTGAGTTTGTTCATTTAGAATATAATGCCTTCAACTTCATTTTTATTTCATTTGGAATCAGAAAGAGAACTTCATTTTTATTTACTTATTATTTCATTTAGAATCAGAAAGTGGTATATGTTGAAATGAAAAAAAGAAAAAGAACATATTTACTTATTATTTCATTCTTTTTTCCCCCATCAGTATTAAGATTCATATAATCTCATAGAGTATGCACTTGAACATGTTGAAATGGAAAAAAGAAAAAAAGTGGAGTGAAGCACAAAGACTTTTGTACAATGAGCAAAGGCAAATATCGACTGAAGCCCAAAAGCTAGCAGACGGATACTGACTGAAGCCCAATCTCATAATATCCATCGACCATCGAGATTACCTTTCCAATGGTCATAGCACGAAAAAACTTGATTTACTAGGCTTATTTTGACACAAACTCTGTTATCTTTATAAGCTCTGTGATTTTTGGTTCTAACTGGCATTCATTCCTATCCAAACTCCAAGCAAATCTATCATTATGAACTTGAACCAACATGGGATATCGAACTTAGAAAGACTAGTCAACTTTGAACACAATCAGTGTAAATAGAAGCCCGAGTGTTTTGAGCCTAGTTAGTGCTAACTTTAATAATGCCCCTTTAGTAGAGTTTTACATCACACAGAATTGAAAAACAAGACTTAGAAACAACAATTATCAAGGAAACTAAAACTCTTTTAACCAAACAGAAGATAATACAAAGTTCAAAGGAACACTGGTGAAGATCAATAACAAGGGGACAAGGTTCCTAATCAAAACTACAAGAAAGTAACCCCAAACATTATATAATCTAAAGGACTTGATTCCCACTCGTTTCAAGTTCCAAATTAGAACAACCAAATGAAAATTCCACTACCAGATTTTAACCGATTACAGAAACAAACAGCAAACGCAGGAGACCACATTGCAGCAAATTATGATTTAAGTAAAACATACATTTTATGCTCCTCCTTCCTTCTCCTCTCGCTCTCGGTTCCATTGCTCAATCCTTGCCCTCCTCTCCTCACTTCCTTCTCTTCCACCACCCGGGCTCCCTCCTCGTTTAGGGCTTCCCTGTCTCTTCCTTGAACCTTCCCTTTCCTGCCTGTCTGACCTCTCACTGCTCCTTTTTCCACTTCCATGCCTGTAAAACTCACGGTCTCTGTCACGGTGACTGAATTCCCTGTGAGGAGGATCACGCCGATCATACTCTCTCTTGTGCCTAGGGCTTATACTTCTGCTCCTGCTCCTGCTTCTGCTACCCCTGCGGTATGACCGCCGATACCTCCCAAACAGTTTTCTCCTCAACTCCCTCGAAACAAGCTTCACGTGCATGAAATTACAGTACCCACCACGGTTACAGTTGTTTTCTTCATACTGCCGACAAGTTGCTTCGCGGAAATCCGTCACAGGAGAGAAATCCGCGATGATGGGACGTCCCGAATAATACCTACCTTGCAGAGCCTGCAAGGCGGCTGCAGCCTGATCTTCTTCCTTAAACTGAACATACACATTGCCAATCATGTGGTCAGCGAGGTTATCACAAATGTTGAGGCTTTCAATCTCGCCAAATTTCCCGAGCTCCTCAAAGAGATCCTCAAAGAAATCCTCAAAATGCTCTTGAATCTTGCGCGGGTCTAGCGGTTGGCCCTGGGCATCGACACCGGGGGTTATCATGTCAGGCCTCTGGTACATGTTGGAAAGGAGAAGCGTCGGGGAGATGGTGGGACGGTTGTGGAGCCGAGAGCACCGGTCACCGTGACGGCAAGCGCCAATCTTGAAGTAGAAGGGACAGTTCACTCTGTCCTTTTCGGTACCAAAGATTGAAGCCAAATGCTCCGCCATGACAGAATTCCCACCCTGATATAGTGTTGTAGTAAATCAAAAGATACCAAAACTGTATGAACAAATCTAAAACTATATGGAAAAGGCCTAGACCTGTAACATCATCAAGATCAAGACACAGATTTTCGCTACAAAATTAGGGTTACGAAAGCGAAGATATGATAAACTATTAGAAAAAAATCGCATAGATCTTAGTAAGCTATTGAGTTCACTGGGAA